ACTTTTTTCTATAGTAATAGTGACCGAGTGTGTTAAAGAAGTAGATGTTGCAGGGGTCTCAGGGCTTTTAAATTCAATTCAATTCAATTCTTTTATTAAAGGGATAGTTCGGTATTTTTGACATGAATCTGTATGGCATCCCCATCACCAGTGTCATGCAATCACACTGACTTACCCCTGGCAGCGTCCTGTGAGCAGAGTTATCGTCCAGTTTTGGTCAAGCCGAAAGTAGTCCTGCAGGTTTTTAGGAACAGCGAAATAAAAATTTTCTCTTCCCAAAACATTATGTGCCATGTCTCCTTCCGCGGCGGAGGGAGACATGGCTGTTGTTGGGCTCGCTGTCTGAATGACGGCGCGCACTGATACGAACAGAGAGAAAATAGGACCAATTGATAACGACGTGTGACTTTTTCCACTACAATGTTTTTGGGATGCGAAAATATCACTCTTTTGGACACATAATGTTTTGGGAAGAGAAACGTTTTATTTCGCTGTACCTAAAAACCTGCAGGACTACTTTCGGCTTGACCAAAACTGGACGATAACTCTGCTCACAGGACGCTGCCAGGGGTAAGTCAGTGTGATTGCATGCCGCTGGTGATCGGGATGCCATACAGATTCATGTCAAAAATACCGAACTATCCCTTTAAGGGATAGCCCCTTGAGATGATCCATCTCGTTTTCGAGGGGGTCCCAAGAACAACAGAGACAAACAATACACACAGTCACACATCCATACCAAAGCTCTTCATCACTACAAGCTAAACAGTCCAACATCTCTACACAAATATATTTATGCAGGTAAAGTCAGTTGTTCTTAATTAAAAAAGCAACACTTTGAAATATGGTTAGTTCTTTGTTCGACTCCCTCTAGTGATTTGCAACTGTTTTACTATTTGCATTATTTTCTTTCTGTGATGCTCCATTTTGTTTTTGCTTGTAGCATTTTTTTTGTGTGGTTTCTGCATATTTTTTGTTAGCATTTTACTTTGCTGATTGCAGGTTTTTGCTTCTATTTTTGTTTACAATTTTTTTGTTTGCAGCACTTTTCTGTTGCGCTTGTTTTTTTGTTTTTTTATGCCGCCGTGTTTTGGACTTTGCATCATATGTGTGTTTGAAGTGGGTTTTCACCTGTTTGCAGGTTGTTTTTTTGTTGTTATGTTTTGCATTTGTTTTTTATGCTTGCATGCCTGGAGTTTGCATCATATGTTTTTGCAGCTTGTTTCATGATTTACTGCACCTGTCAACCACTGTACAAATGCCTTTTTGAGATAATTTATTGAATACACTTATTTATTTTCATTCTTTAAACTATCCAAACTAAATACATTTATCAAACTGAAATTAGAAACAAATCCAAATTTACATTAAGACTTGTAAGTGACCATTAAATATACAGGTTTTATTTATACCTAATTAGATATTTTTTTTTAGCACAACCCTCTTTCGGGATAATGAACTCAAGGTCACAGACTGCACTCTTGATATTCTATGCAAACAGTGAAGATTACACACAAAGCAGAGTTACCGAAAATGTTTTCGATATTCACAACCTTTTTCTGTAGAGAATGAGTAGGTTGCCAAAGGAGCAGTTTTAGAGCAAGAGGGTTTGCATTAAAGAGTGCAATGGTATGGCAATAGTCGACTCACTTTCCCTGTACTCTGAGCCAGAATGGAAAGAACCATAGAGAAACTTATTTTCTCAGCTACTGCTGGCTTTGTCCACAGAACATCAGAAAACTGTATATTCTCAAAGAAGAAAGATCTACTCCAGATAAAATGTATGTATCGAATATCTACAGAATTCCGAGAGTAATCTAGAAACTTTGAGAGGGCTGACATATTCGGCAGACATTTCCTACAAATTGCAAAAGGGTGAACCTTTATTAAAAAGAAAGAAAAATAGGTATGAATCAACTTTAAACATTGAAGACTAGGATTATTTCAGGTTTTTATTAATCATGATTTTCCTTATATCATTCGTCAAAATAGCTAAATAGTACTGTAAAATGTACAGTGAGTAGATAATATTTGCACAATTGAACTTTTCTTACTATGTGTGACAGCAACTTAGTCCTTTAATAAAATATGTTTATTTATATAAACAGACAAAACTAAAAAAAAACAATGGTGGGTTATATAAAAAAAAGATCCATGAAATTAGTCATTTTGAGTTTTAAACTTAGTGCCAATAGTGAAGTAGTTCTCTATTAATTCTATTTGAATCAGGAAGGGAAACTTGTAAAACCTTTACTAAGTCTTCTAAGGAAGTCATTATGAATTCTTAGAATTAATTAAGGATGACTTCCTGCCGAGAGGCAAAGACAAAAAACAACAAGGTAAAGACTCAGGTTGACAAAAACTCAGCTTGACTCAGCTTGGCTAGAGTACCCAAAACTGGCAAACACTCTGGCGTCGAGGTAGTGGCAGTCAGCAGCTTAAGAGTCCTCCGGTAATGAGGCAACCATCTGCAGGTGTGTGAGAAGGCCAACGAGAACCAGGCGCCACCTGGTGGTGGAGGAAAACAAACAAACAACACAACCCACACAAACTGGATTCCTAGCAATGCCTTGTTCTTCAACTACTGAGCTTGCCTGTTCTTATCCGAACTTTTGTTCTCCAATTTGTTCAATAAATGCCTTTAAGGCAATCAATATCTGTCTTGCCTTGAATATTGGGCCTTTCTGTCCTGCTCCAGACAGTCGCAGACTTAAAATCTGTTCATTTATAAACAATATTAAGAAGCTCTACAGACTTTGAGTGTGCTTGATTTAACAAAATCCACCGGGTCGCCGGCAAACTCAGAACGCATGAAAATTACACTGGTAAAATGTTTACCCCCATAGACATGTTATACATAATTGGAAAGTTTAGATTCTCCACAATTCAACCACCAAGTTAATTTTATGGACATAGCTTGGGCCCCTTGAAGAGGCGTGGAGCTGACGGGCCACTGACGGGGCTTGGAGGCGTGAAGCACTCGCTGAGGGTCCTTGGTTGTGGAGCACCTCTGGAAGGCACAGAGCTTGCTCATTAAGAGGATCTTACTGGGGAGTGGAGACAATAACAGGGTCTGACTCGGGGGTGCAGATGCTAGCAGGGTCTGACTGGGGAATGGAGACGCTAACAGGTTCTGACTGGGGAATGGAGGTGCTAACAGGGTCTGACTGAGGAGCTAGGACTGGGTGGAGTAGGCTGAGTGGCTAGGAAACTGAGGGGAGGGAAGTGAGAAGGGAGGGCTGGCCCGCTAACGGGCTCCTCCGGCTCAGGGATTGGCCTGCTAATGGGCTCCTCCGGCTCGGGGACTGGCCCTCTAATGGGCTCTGGCACGCTAATGGGTTCCTGCTTGGGAAATGGCCCACGAAGGGGCTCCGGCTTGGGAAACGGCCCGCAAATTGGCTCAGGCTCAAGAAACAGCCCGGAAGGGGTTCTGGCTCGGGAACTGGAGATGGTGGAAGAGAAGGGAAAACCTCTTTCTCACCATAAAAAACTCAAAAAACTCAGATACTCTAACTCATGGGGAATGTGAACAAAATATTTGAGATGATCTGGGGCCAAATGATTGTTTTAACGCACTGAGAGGCGGTCAGAACTGGGAATCATGAAGGAGGCAGCTGAGACTACAAAGGAAACTAAGCTGGAATGGAGGTAAACCATTGCAGGCATCAGGCTGACCCACTGGAAAGGGAGCTGTGGCCTTTCTCCTCACTTAAAGGTCTGAATAGTTGACACTGCAGAGGGTGAGGAGGGAGTGGAGTCCAGTCCAGAGCAGTGGATGGAACTGATGGAGGAGAGGTAGAACAGGCAGAAGCTGCAGGTGATGTGAGTAATTGTGGTCGAGGTGGAGGAGGCTTACCAAAAAGCTGAGCAAAAGCAGCCTGATCATTCCACTCCACCTTTTTAAGTAGGGCATAAAAAAGGTGAAATTAAAAGTTTAAAAACCTAACCTTAAATTTAATTGCAGAAAAAAAGCTAAATTAATTAAAGAAAAGTATGTTGAGAAAAAAAGCAAAGGTATGTTGATGAGAAAAGAATGTGGTAAAGATGAACAACTTTATTCTTTATTCATTTTGAAACATTTGAAAAATCTTCCTTAAACTAACCATTGTTTCTTTACTCTTATTTCATATATTAATTTATCCTATTTATGTGATTGTTCTACCCCTTTTGGGAGCTTTTAGTTTTCAGTTATCAGTTGTTCTGATTTTGATCTTTGGTTTATTTTCCATTATATTCAAGCAGTCTTTAGTTACTCTGTGTTGTGCTTGATACTTGTACTCCACCTCTGCAGTCGCTCAGTGCTAGTTCCTTGTCATTGAGTTTGTAGTTCCTTCCTCGTCCCTGGCTTCCCACATGAGTTGCCGATGCTTTCTCTTTTTTTGGTACTTAGTATTATGTATTTTTGGATGTAAGCCTAAGTTTTCATTAAATCTACAAGATTCACCTCTGTCTCCTGGTCTCTGCCACCTTCTATTATAAAATTGTACTGATAGCACTGTAAGATAAAATAATGCATGTATTCCTGGATGAGGACTTAAATTCACAGTCTAAAATTTTATTACATTGTTGGGCGTGGAGGTAGAGCACATGACCCATATACCACCTGGCGCGGGATCAAGTCCTGGACTACTGATCTTTGCTTAATGTCTCCCAATGCTCTTGTAACTCACTTAATTTGTGCATGCTTTCAAAAATAAAGGCACTAGAGCCTAAAAAAATATCTTGAAAGAAGATTTTTTTTTTTAACAAATTGTTGTTTAACTGATAATGAATCTGACTCATATAAGTACACTATCTCTGTACTACTGATTTCTCTTTAATGTTTAAACATGTTCCTTGGTCTGCATGAAAGGGTTTGCTGTCAAAGTCCTGAAAAAAGTACACAAGCTGGACATTCAGTGTAAATAGTAAAGGTTAAAAAAACAACTCAGCCTGGGGCAGTTTGTGTGGGTTCGTGATGACTGGAAGGGGTGGAGTTTCTGTCATAAATGTTTTTCTAATGAAAATAGGAGATCTGGAGGTGGAGACTAATAGTAACAACAATGAATTCATATTAGTAGCAGCAAAAGTTGACTTTGGTGGAATCAGACATTTCTGCTGCCTTTTCTTGAATCTGTCAGGAGGTATAATGAGGAGAAAACGAGAACTCTACCTCTTATGTCTTTTCCTGGTTCTGGCTGCTGCTCTACCAGACAAGGTAAAGTCTGATGCAAAAATAACTTTATTGTATTTCTGAAATTTCATGAATAGCTTATGCTTCCATTTTCTCCGACTTCCATTCCTTCAGAATGTTTAAAGTTGTGTATTTGTCATTTTCTTGGGTACCCTTTTTTGTACCAAGAATATACTTGGAAATATGCAGTCACTATTCCTGTTTTTGGTACCCCAATTATACTTAATATTATGGGCTTTTTGATAATCACTGATGGGAATATTTATTTCTTATATTATGTGTAAATGGTGGTGACAGTGATTTTTGTTTTTGTTTTTTAAGCATATGCACTGATCGATCGATGGCACTTTTTTAAAATTTCGTTGTTCTTGTGACAATGACAATAAAGATAAATTGAATTGAATAAGATGGAGAAATAGAGCATCACTCCTATTATGTTCCAGTTACCTTTTTATGTAAACTTTGCATAAAAATCAGTTGCCACAAATTCTTAAAAACTGTTTTTGGCACCAGTGACCTTCATTTGACTTTCAGCTGACAGAAAAAGGGGGTTGAGTCAGAGGGAAAGGACAGGTTGGAGAGATCCTAAAAGCATAACTGCATCGAGGACTGATGCCTCTGTACAGTCTGTGAGTTTGAAGCTCTCTTGCACTACTGACCCCAATAGGCACCTCCGTCCTCCAAAAACCAATCCGGGAGGGGGGCCCCGTAAGCTGCACCACCTAGGGCCAGGGACAGGTGGCAGGGCCCGTGAGCCAACCACTTACCAGGACCAACATACTCCCCCTCTCCGCCAACAAACCCAAAAAATCAAAATATAAAATCTAACCTCCTTGGATAACCATCCTGCCTGTACCATGCTCCCCGGATGGAACCCACACCAGGAGAAGAAATAGACTGGAACCAAGATAGCAAGCCAGACATGGAGCCCTCGAAACATCAACATCTCCACAACCCCTCTCCCCATCTGAGCATGTAATCTCACCCCAAAACTACCATTCAAACCGCTCACAACACACATACGACAAAGAAACCCAGGCTGGGTTTGTCCCAACTCCCCCTTCCTCCCCTCCCCCCACTAGCAGAGTGCAAACCCCTTGAAGGGGAAAGCATCAGTCATTAATTTCCATTTCCCCCTACAAGCTCAACAGGCCCAGGATCCCCCAGTGCACCAGAGGCACTGGTAGGGTCAGAGCTAGGCTTGCACCTGCCCAAAACCCATGCAGTACCCCCCACAGAACCTGATCCCCCAACACCTCACCAGGACACCCACCCAAGGGGGACACACCATAGGAACCCCAAATCCCTGGACATACCCCAGGCCCACCCAGCGAAGCAAAGCTACCAGGCCAGTAACCCACATCTGTCAGCACAGTATCCCCCAAGAGCCCCGTGTGCAGCCAATACAGACCTCCCAAGTACCACCACCCCTGGCCCAAGTGGGGTCACAGACCACGGGCCCAGACCCACCAGGCACCCCACTCAGAGCCCCCCACCCCCTCTAATTCAATTCAATTAAGTTTATTTATATAGCGCCAATTCACAACACAAGTCATCTCAAGGCACTTTACAGTACAACCAGATCATACAGTCAAATTGATTCAAAGTTTTCTATCTAAGGAAAACCAGATGATTGCATTGACTCATTGACTCAAATACTGTCCCTCACACTAAGCATGGTTGTAGCGACAGTGGAGAGGAAAAACTACCTTTTAACAGGAAGAAACCTCCAGCAGAATCAAGCTCAGTGTGATTCTGCTGGAGGCCAACTGGGGTTCAAGGTGACAGAAGCAGAGACAAAAAAAGCAGCTGTAAAAGGCGTCCCCACCCAGGAAACACACAGCCAGGCAGACGAGCTCTGAGCTAGCTCCCATGTCACAGGATGAAGAGGGCACATCCACCCAGTCACGGACAGAGAAACAGGACTACACTGAAAAACAGGCCGATCTCCAGCATCTATAAACAAGGGTGTTAATGGAAGCAGCACAGCTGATATTTCTCTCCAAAGTGGTGTCACAGCCAAACAGGAACAGAAGAGGCAAAGCTACCATGAGAAAATGCAGAGAGAGCATAACGTTAGAGATTGAACTAACAGATTCTGCAGAATAGGTGAATAGAGAGAGAATGAAGCAGAATGATGAAATGGGGGTCCCTATGTCCTCCAGAAGTCTAAACCTATACCAGCATAACTATAGAGATAGCTCAGGATAACCTGAGCCTCTTTAACTATAAGCTTTATCAAAAAGGAAAGTTTTAAGCCTAGTCTTAAAAGTAGTAGTAGTTCCTGTGGAACCAACTACCAAAACTGGTAGTTGGTTCCACAGGAGAAGAGCCTGATAACTAAAAGATCTGCCTCCCATTCTATTTTTAGAAATTCTAGGAACCACTAGTAAACCTGCAGATTGATAGCCAAGTGCTCTGTTAGGAACATAAGGAACAATCATATCTCTGATATAAGATGGAGCTTGGCCATTTAAGGCTTTATATGTGAGAAGGAGGATTTTAAATTCTATTCTGGTTTTAACAGGAGAACAGAAGATTTGAAGAGAAGCCAGGATAGGAGAGATATGATCTCTCTTTTCAATTTTCATCAGAACTCTGGCTGCAGCATTTTGGATCAGCTGAAGGCTTTTAACAGTAACAGACGAACATCTAATTGATGGAGCCGATCAAAGGAGCCCAGAGAGATTGATCTGATGCAGTTGCAGATGCTGTCTCAAGAGTAATATGATCCAACAAAAGATCTCTATACTGATTGATACTAAGATTTTTTTTCACTTTTCCAATTCACAAGAATAGTTTTCTTTGCGATACACATGGCAGTGAAAACCATGCAATTTTTTTTTTTTCCGAAGAGCTCTCCTCATAGTTATCAAGCAAACAAACTGATGTGGAAGGTGAGATTTTACAAGCTCCTTACATATCTGAACCCAGAACCTCTGAACAGGTGTACATAGCCATAACGCATGAAAGTAATTGTCAGGATTGTGGCCTGTCAATGACTTTCCAAACAGGTGTGGGTGTATGTGTGTGGGGGGCAGAGCACACATTAGCTCAATGTCATGACCCCCTTTTTATCTTTATTTCATGTTAGCCTGCTTTTAATTTTCTTTTATTGTATTATCTAATTCATGTACAGCACTTTGAAATGCCTATGTAATAAAATGTGCTATACAAATATACTTGCCTTGCTTTTCCTAAAATAAAGTGAAAAGGTTATCATATCTGCTGATACAAATATATCTATTGGCAATATTATTGGGATTATTTTTTTTGTTTTAGATTAAAATATAAGATAAAGGGAACATTACAAATTATTTTACGTTATCATAATAAAAAAGATGATAGAGATTATAAGTAAATCTAAATCATTAACAAGTAAATACCTGAGCCTTACAAGTGGACATTATTTAAAGCACTAAAAGAGATTTTTTTAATAACTGTAGTTATTTTTTTAGTTTGTTTTTTTTTACAATTAAGGGTATTATTTTAGTATTTATTTACATTTGTTATAAGTATTGGACAAAGAATAATCAAAGCAGGTATATTTGCAACAACATCAATAAATGCTCCCTCTACAAAAATTTTATTTTCTAAGTTTGGATTTTCTTTTTATCATGAATATGTATCTCAGATCTCGTATATAATCTTGATTTCTCTGTTTAAACAGGATGACTGGGACATTTACAGCTTTCACATCAACTCTACTGTGACCAGTCGATTTGCCACCACCGTCATCACAAGTCGTGTGGCCAATCGAAAGGATGAATCAAAGGAAATTGAATTTCATGTCCAGATTCCCAAGAATGCCTTCATCAGTAAATTCAGAATGTATGTAACACACATTAATATAAAATGTTTGGTATTGAAAATAAACTATTTAACATGTTTTTCTATCCTCCTACTAATGACATACTGTAAATTTAAACTTTAAGTTCTTAAATTTCTAATTTAAAATGTTTGACATGATGCTTTAAACATATAATTATAAACCCATATGAAATCAGGTGCTTTTCTTCATTTTATTAATAGGGTTTGTTATTTTTTTTTTACTTTATATTTTATATAAAGAGACATATTTAAGAATTTGATTAATTCATCCGTCTGTTTTTTTTTTGTTTTTGTTTTTTTACAATGCTCATTGACGATGCTTTGTTAAACCATCTAGCTAACATATTTGTTTCTTTTACGAAACAGTTTCTTTTTCTTTAGTACGACAAATAAAAATGGTTAGAAGTTTCTTACAATCTATATGTAATGTCTTATCCAATATTATTCAAATTATATAAGAAGGAAATTAAAATATAATGTTAGCTCCATGTGAATTCCTCAAATTTTAGCTCCAACCTCCCTAGTCCCTACTATCTCTTCATTTTTCAATCGGTCAACCTTAATAACACTATGCAGAGTAGGAGAGGAGTTTCAGACTGCTGTGCTGAATATGGACAACCCTCAATGTCATAATGGGTGAAGCCCTCTGTTATAAAAACATGAAACCATATAAAGGTGTGTGCATTGGTACGAGTCACACAGAGTACAACTTAAAATAATACAGAAAACATATTGTTCCCACTAGTGGTTAAAAAGGGGAGGAGGTTCCTATGCGAACTAAATGGTCACTGAAACTTGCTGGTCCTAGTTCTTTCTTTACTGCCAACCCTATTTGGAGAGCACTATTTAAACCATTGGCACATTTCCGCTGTGGCTTTAGTGTCCTTACTAATTTGAGGTATTCAGACTGAGCCTTAGACTTCATCGTACTTGAATAATTTATTTATTTTTTAACTTTGCAGGTTTATTGATGGTCAGGTGTATGATGGAATTGTGAAAACTAAGGAGCAGGCTCAGCAGCAGTACACTGATGCTGTGTCCCGTGGCCAAAGTGCTGGGATTGTCAGGTATATGAACTGATGGATTTCATTTCAGTTATTTGTAGAGGAGTGTTCTTTTTAGATCTTACTTTGTCTATTGCTATATGTCCTTAGACTTAGACAACTTTTATTGTAATTTTGTATACATAGAGTGTATACAAACGATATTTCGTTTTGTACAGCTCTCATACCATTTCAATTTTTTTTATGTCCATGCTTAAAACATTTTACTGTGTCACTGTAAATTGGCATATTTCATGCAAACACTACAATTTGCTTTGCAGCTCTGTAGGGAGAACGATGGAGGAATTTAAAACTTCAGTAAATGTGGCAGCCCACAAAAAGGTGACCTTTGAGCTCACCTATGAGGAACTGCTGAAACGCACACATGGCATATATGAGATGCAGGTCCATGCTCGACCTATGAAGCCTGTCAAAGACTTCAAGGTACATAACTATTGAGAAAACTTATTTGTTAGAAGAAGCTTCAGTTATAAATGTAATGTCTTTTCTTGTTGATAAGCTTGACGTTTACATCTATGAGAAAGCTGGAATCAGTTTCGTTGATGTGAAAGGAGGACTGAGCACCAAAGCCCTGGCTAATGCCATCACCAAAACACAGACAGATGAACAGGTACAACCTATTCTTGTACTATAACATCTTCAGTTTATTATCTTTACCCAAATGAATAACCCTGCAACGCTGAAAATACCAGACAAAAAAAATTAACAAAACCTAAACAGAAAGATGGAAATTGGTCAGAAGGCTGACAACAGCCCAATTGCAACTCTGATGGATGCACAGGAAAATGTGGTTATAAAATGTGGTTGTTATAGGTTATGTTCTACATGGAACATAACATTTAAAGTATAGGAAAAGGCTTTACATGAATCATTATGTCCTTATTTTTTTCACATCATCTGACATTTTACCACTAATGTTTAGACTAGGCAAATCCAATGTATTTGAGCCACTAATAAAAGAAGTAGAAAAAAGGATTACATTAACTAAGTTATTTGGTTTGTAGGCTTGGGTGCATTTTTATCCAACTGAAGACCAACAAAAATCCTGTGAATATTGTGGTGAGGATGGTATGAATGGAGATCTGGTCATTGTTTATGATGTTAAACGAGACACAGGACTTGGAGACATCAAGGTAAAATAATCCAAATTTAGAGCTTTCAATAGGATTGTGCTATGAGATAATAATTTTTTCACAATCATACAAATATCCTTGTTAATGATCTTTTTTAACAAGTGCTGTTTAATTCTACTTTATTCTAGTTGACTTCGGATGGTTACTTTGTCCATCACTTTGCTCCATCTAATCTTACCAGAATACCAAAGAACGTTGTATTTGTTATTGATCAAAGTGGCTCAATGAACGGCAAGAAGATGGAACAGGTAGAGTAATTCTAAGTAACATTCTTTGTATTCATGCTTCAGGTGATCAATTCAAGAAAAAATAAAACATAAACTCTTATATGTTATTCCCTAATTTCTATCAATTTCTTTCTGTGCAGACCCGAACAGCTTTACTGCATATTTTGAATGACCTGGCAGAAAATGACTTCTTTGGTCTTATCACTTTTGACAGTGAAATATTTCACTGGAAACGAGAACTTGTTCAAGCCACAAGTGAAAATTTGCACTTAGCCAAAGAATTTGCACGTAATATTGTAGATAGAGGAGGTAAGAGGACTCTCTGAAATGTAATCTTAACATCTATCAGAAGGATTGTAGTGTAACAGCTATTCTTTTTTTAGCTACCGACATTAACGGAGCAATTTTGGAAGGAGCTCGCATGCTGAATGCACACCCCAGAGAAGGTTCAGCCTCCATTCTTATTCTACTCACAGATGGAGACCCAACCTCAGGTTAAAGAACACAGAAACGCACAGAGCCGTAAAATAGATCATTCCAGAAAAGGAAATGAATGGTGCTATACAGTATTTGATTTTTGATATACTTACTATGTTTGATAGTAAGTTGTGTAATTCCATAATTACATACTCGCCCTTGATCTTAGGTATCCTGTGATTTAATTAATTTCCCTTTGTGATTAATAAAGTATGTTTGAATTGCACTTGCATTGAATTTTGAAACTCTTAGAAAGTTACAGTACAGAGTTAGCAAATTCAGTGGTGTTTTCTTGTTTTCATAAACTTTAATTAAGTGCGTCCTTAATTCTTAGTTCTGTCATGACTAATCAAAGTCAACACATTAACTGATGTGGTGTTGATCTTTTTGAATGTGTGCAATGTGTGTGCTTCCACCCATCCACATTTATTAATTTATTCCCCTACATCTGAGCAGTTATTTTGTGCTCTGTTGCAGTATTAACTGTTATTTTACAATTTGTCATAGTGAATTACTAGAGTATATGGCCCATGCTAATCACTCCAGCATAAAATGCTTTGGGAAAAAAAGTGAAAAATGCCATATTCTTTTTAAAAATGCTGTTCTTGAACTATGTATTTTACATTACTCCTCTTGTTTGGTTGTGATCTAATAACAAAAATACCCATGTATTGTGTTGTTTCAGGTGTGACAAATCCTCAACGTATACAATCCAATGTAAAGCAAGCAATTGCAGGGAAGTTTCCTCTCTATTGTCTTGGTTTTGGGTTTGATGTCAACTTTGAATTCTTGGAGAAAATGTCACTCCAGAACAGCGGTCTGGCAAGAAGGATTTACCAAGACTCTGATGCTGATTTACAGCTGAAGGTATTTTCCTCAAAGTTTGCATACTTGGCTTACAGTGTCTTGCAAAGCAATTTGAAGCCTGTTGATATTTTGTGAAGAAACAACCATAACATCAAGATATTGGGATTTTATTTGACAATGGAGCACAAAGTGATCCATAAAGAGTGATGATAAATTGCTAAAGCTAAAAGTACTCAATTCAATTCAGTTTATTTATACAGCATCATTTCATAATACGTCACTCTTAAGGAAATTAAACCAGATCATAACAGTCAGATTGGTTCAAAGCTTTCGATCTTAGGAAAACCAGCTGATTGCATGGGCCATGCATGTAGCGACAGTAGAGAAGAAAACTTCCTTTAACAGGAAGAAACCTCAAGTAGAACCAGACTCAGTGTCAACACCATCTGCCGAGGCCGAATGGGGTTCATGAAGACAGAGGCAGACATACAGAAAGAAGAAGAGATAGAAAGGGCAACTGTCAACCAGCTCCAGAATCAGAATCAGAATCAAGTTTATTGCCAAGTAGGTTTGCACTTACAAGGAATTTGACTTGGTGTTGTTGGTGCAGACAAAAAACAAAATAAGATAGAATATAGAAGCTATATACAAACAGTAGACTGTGCGTTAATGTAACGCAGAAATCCTGAATGGGGGAGAGAAACATTGTCCAGTGTCACAGGCGGCTCTTGGCCTTGTTGATAAGGCCGGTTGCAGATGGGAAAAAACTGTTTTTGTGACGGGAGGTTCTGGTTCTGATGGACCGCAGCCTCCTGCCAGAGGGAAGTGTCTGAAATAGTCTGTGACTGGGGTGTGAGGGATCGGCCACGATCTTCCCTGCACGTCTCAGAGTCCTGGAGGCGTGCAGCTCCTGGAGAGATGGGAGGTTGCAGCCAATCACCTTCTCTGCAGACCGGATGACACGCTGCAGTCTGCTCTTGTCCTTAGCGGTGGCACCAGCGTACGAGATGGTGATGGAGGAAGTGAGGATGGACTTAATGATGGAGGAGTAGAACTGCACCATCATTGTCCTGGGCAGGTTGAATTTCTTCAGCTGCCGCAGGAAGTACATCCTCTGCTGGGCTTTTTTGGTGAGGGAGTCGATGTTCAGCTCCCACTTTAGGTCCTGGGAGATGATGGTTCCCAGGAAGCGGAAAGACTCCACAGTGTCAATGGTGGAGTCACAGAGGGTGATGGGGGTAGCTGGGGCTGCGCACTTTCTGAAGTCCACAACCAACTCCACTGTTTTTAGAGCGTTGAGCTCCAGGTTGTTCTTCCTGCACCAGGTCACCAGATGGTCAGCCTCCCACCTGTAGGCGGACTCGTCACCATCGGAGATCAGTCCGATGAGAGTGGTGTCGTCCGCGAACTTCAGGAGCTTGACAGACTAATGACTGGAGGTGCAGCTGTTGGTGTACAGGCGGCCTCATCAAGGAAACACACAGCCAAGTAGACAAGGTCCGAGCCAGCTCCCTTGTCAGAGGATGAAAATGAGCACATACAGCTAGGCACAGTAAAAGAAAAACAAGACCAAATTGAGAAATAGACCAAGCTCCAATATTTATAAACAAAAGGTGTTGGGTGCAGCAGCACAACTCATCTTTCACATCCATACCGGAAAAGACCAGAAGAAACCACAACGATTTCTTCTGGTTGATTCTTCTGGACGATTTCCCATTCTACTTTTAGAAATTCTAGGAACCACTAATAAACCTGCAGATTGAGAGAGACGTGCTCTGTTAGGATGATAAGGAACAATCATATCTCTGATATAAGATGCAGCTTGGCTATTTAAGGCTTTTGTGAGAAGGAGAATTTTAAATTACATTCTAGATTTAACGGGCAGATAAACGATGATAGAAGTAATATGATCTCTCTTTATGATTTTAAATAGAATACTGGATGCAGGATTAACGTGTGTGGACTTTTTGATAGTACAGAATTACAATAGTCCAGCTTATAAGTAACAAATGCATGGTCTAGTTTCTCAGCATCACCCCTGGGCAGGATTTTTCTAATATTTGCATTATTCCAGAGGTGAGCAGGAGCAGGAAATTGTAAAAATCTCTTTGATAAGGGATTTAAATGACGGGTTCTGATCAAAAATAACACCAAGATTTTTTACTTTAATATCTTAGATCAATTTAACACCCTCCAAATGAAGTGATTCATCTTCTTTTGCACAGACCCTGACCAAAAACAACAACTTCTGTTTTGTCTACATGAAGAATTAAAAAGTTAAAAGTCATCCAGGTTTTTATGTCTTCAAGACATACCTGTAGTCTATGTTATGGCTTAATTTCATCTGTTTTTATAGTAAGATGAGTATCATCAGCATAACAGTGCAAAGTTATCCCATACTGTCTAATCATTCAACCGATTGGGAGCATATATTGTATATAGTAAAGGGAATTTGTCCCAGCACTGATCCCTGTGGTACTCCATAGGTAGCCCTGGAAAATGAAGAAAAGTTATCATCAACTGGAATAAACTGAAATCTGTCAGATGAATAAGATGCAAACCACCCTTGTGCAGTTCCTTCAATTCCTACAAAATATTGAAGTCTTTCTAAAAGAATAATATGCATTAAATGCATAACTGTATTAAATGCAGCACTGAGATTTAACCGGACAAGTACAGATACAAGTCCATTATCTGAGGCCGTTAGAATATCATTAGTGACTCAAAGCTGTTTCTGTGCTATGATGAGCTCTAAACCAGGTTAAAACTCAATTACATTATAGAGTAATTGGTTACAAACTGTCCTGGTAGTGGCACAATAGACCAACTCCATACCCTTCATTTGGTGCTCGAGGTTCCGTGGGTGTTCCCTCAAACAGTCCACATGTGTTTTGTGGATCTGGAGAAGGCTTATGACCGTGTCCCTCGTGGTGTCTTGTGGGGGGTGCTCCAGAAGTATGGGTTCTTGGGCCCTCTGTTAAGAGCTTTACGCTCTCTGTATGACCACAGCAGGAGCTTGGATCGCATTGCCGGCAGTAAGTCAGAGCTGTTCCCGGTGCATGTTGGTCTCTGCCAGGGCTGCCCTTTGTCACTTGTAATGTTCATTACATTTATGGACAGAATTTCTAGGCGCAACCAGGAACCGGAGGTTGTCCGGTTTGGGAACGGTACCTCAGGATATCGTCGTCTACGGGTTGTAGATGATGTTGTCATTTTGGCCTCATCAAACCAGGACTTCCGACGTGCACTGGGGCGGTTTGCAGCTGAGTGTGATAAAGCTGGGATGAGGATCAGAACCTCCTAATTTGAGGCCATGGTTCTCCACTGGAGAAAGGTGGACTCCCCTCTTCAGGTTGGTTGAGAGTCAATGTCTCAAATGGAAGAGTTCAAGTATCTTGGGGTCTTGTTGACGAGTGAGAGACGGATAGAGCGTGAGATCAATAGACAGATCGGTGCAGCGTTGGCAGTGATGCAGCCACTGTATCGGAATGTCATGGTAAAGAGGGAGCTGAGTCGTGGGACAAAGCTCTCGATTTACCGATCTTTGTTCCCACCCTCAACTATGGTCATGAGATCTGGGTAATGACCGAAAGGACAAGATCGCAAATACAAATGGCTGAAATTAGTGTCCTTCGCAGGGTAGCTGGGTGACCCTTAGAGATTGGGTGAGGAGCTCAGTTACCTGGAAGGAGCTTTGAGTAGAGTCGTTGCCATGTCGAAAGGAGCCAGCTGAGGGGGCTCGGCTATCTAATTTGGATGCCTCCTGGTCGCCTCCCTCGGGAGTGCAGCCTCGAAAATAGTAAAAAATACATAAAAACAGTAATATAAACAGTAATATAATCAGGGATAGTTAAATCATCAAAAATGATAAAAAAAAAATAAATAAATAAGGTGGAAATCTGAGGGAATACTTACTTAAATAACTTGGTTTGAACTGGATCTAACATAAAAAGGTGAAGGCTTAGATGCAAATAATAGTTTTGCTATTTCTGAAAGCTCAACTCAAAACAGTGTAAACCCAGTTCAGATTCTTTAGTTACCTCAGATTCTGCCTCACCTTTCGGAGATAAACCAATCATATTTAGAGGGGTGTAATGATCTTATTTTAAATAGAATCAATCTTATATATAAAGAATCCCATAAATTCATTACTGTTAAGAGCAGGGGGGATGGACGGGTCCACAGAGCTATGGCTATGAGTGAGTTTAGCAACTGTATTAAAAAGAAATGTAGGATTATTCTTATTAATGAGGAGAAATATGCTGCTCTTGTTTAAGAAGGGTCATCCTATGCAGCAGTAAACTGTCTTTCCAGACTAGGTAAAAATCCCCATTGTCATGTAGAGCGCCATTTTCCCTCCAGTTTCCTAGCAATCAGCGCAGCTCTGCATTAAACCAGGTAGCCAGCTTTCTATTTTAAATTTCTTTTTTTTTAAGGGGGCTACATTTTCTAAGGAAGTATACTGGGAACTAGTAACCACATCAGTGAAATAATATATTTTTTAAGGGGAATGAATTAAATAGTTGCCCTCTGCAGAATTGTTCAGTGATACAAAAAAGATAGAAAGTGGAACAGATGCTACAAAATTTATGACTGCATTATTTGATGATGGTCTGCTAAACTGCAACCTTATTTTATGGGAGAAGAACGCTGTTAAATTAATTTTGAAGGTTAATAGAAACTGGTCAGAGAGAACAGCTTGTGTGGAAATACTGTTATTTCTTTATATACAATGTTATATTTCACAAAAAGAGTATGAAGAAGAGAATGTGTGGGACTGTTCACATTTTGAACAAAGCCAATTGAGTCTAAGATAGCATTAAAGGCTGCATTTAATCTATTACCTTCAATGTTGGCATGAATATTGAAAAGTCCACTATTATGACCCTGTCAGTATTTAATATTAAACCTGTGTTACGGTGTTTAAAGAATGCCCTCTGTTTAGCTCCAGCCCCCATCCTACAAACTTTAATTAGCTCACCTGCTGAAGAAAAGTCACCCCACATCATGATGCATATACTTCAACTTTTCACAGTGACTAATTTTGACTGATGTGAGGTATCACGATTTCCCAAAATTCACTTTTGGTCTTCTCTGACTAATATTTTTGTGGTTCATATATTTTTTAACAGCAGCATGGTGGATTTCTGAAGATCCTTTAAAACAACTGTGAGCCTTTTGGCCCCTTCTCTGCTTAATTTTACCTTAGGTTAACCTGTCAGTCTAAGTGCAGTTTTAACTATACTCTGTAATATTTCCATTTTTAAATATTAGATTAATCATACCTCCATATTAGTATTTTTTTTAATTGTTTTAAAACCTAACCCTCTATTCCTTTAATTTTATCTGAAAAAGAAAAATGTCTTAAGGCCCAGAGTAACTGTGTCGGAATTCCGATGGGCACAACACTTTTTAGATTTTTACTGTACAGCTGAATTAAAAAATAGTTAATTGTTTGCTTTTCACCTTACATTTATGCGTCTGTACTTTGTGTTGGTCTATCACATATGATTCCAACAAAACACACTAAGATTTGTGGTTGCAAACAGATAAAATATAAAAATACTTAATGGAGTTTAAAGACCTTTACAAGCCATTGTTTATTAATCTCCAAGGTGCCAACATAATTGTTGCAGATAAGAAATCTCCACCTTTTTACACTATGTAGAAAGTCTATGGTGAAGAAGATTAAAATACATTCATTTTTTTTATTAACAGGGTTTCTATGAAGAAGTGGCCACTCCTCTGCTAACAGATGTGACAATGATATATATAGGTGGAACCAATTTAACCCAGACTAATTTTAGTCAGTTTTATAATGGCTCTGAGATTGTGGTGGCCGGGAAGATCATTGATAACAATATTGAAACCTTCATTCCACAAGTTGTTGCCATTTCAGTAAGGATCAATCCACAAAGCAAATTCAAGTATGATTCCATAAAACTGCTTAAAACTCTTTGGAATACTCATAATTAACTCTGTTGACTGCAGTCTGAAAGAAAAGTGAACTTTTCAAAAACAACTGGCTCAATGGATTCTTCTAATGGAACAGTTTCTGATGGAGTTCTTCAGAGGGTCTGGGCATACCTGACTGTTAAACAACTTCTAGAGAAAGAGTAAGTGGGACTCAGTTTCTTTCTTGAGCAATTAATTTTGATATAGTCTGGTGAAATAAAATCACAGCCATAATTAGTGTTCTTGTATCTTAACATGTTCTGACACTTTGTTGTTGGGGGTGAATTCAAAGTCTTGAAGGTTGGAAAACATCCTTACTATTTGTCTTTCTTTTAATTGAAAAATCCAATCTGGCTCAAAGAAATCCAAAAACATTGTCCAAAATTAGGAGTCAGAAGTTAAAAGAAATCAGGAGGAACCATTTGATAAAAGTTGTTTTTAATTTTTTTTTTAACCTAAATTAGTCAGATATATTAAGTACGGTTTTAGCTGATGATGTCACTGTTTGTTCATAAAATTTATATTAATTATATCTTTCCAAAACAGTGAAAAATGGTAAGGGCCTGAAGCTTTGATATTCATTAGTGCAACAAAACATTTATATATTTATAGAATTGCAAGCTGATTATATATAAATTACATCGTATACAATTTTACATATTTTAATTGATCCATTATAAACATTTAAAGAAATATAATTGCACAATATTTTTTATGGCTAGTTGTAAAAACACCAGTTATGCTGTTTGAATTGAAATAAGTTTCCAACTCTAATAAGATATTTTTATACAGGCTGCTTCTTTCTGGATCTGAGAAACAAAAGGTGAAGGATGAAGCTTTGCAGCTGTCCCTGAAGTACAGCTTTGTGACTCCACTTACATCCATGGTGGTGACTAAGCCTGAAGGGGAGAACACACAAATCCTTCACAAACCAAAGGAGGGGAAAGCACCACAACTTCACGGTAAACTGCCATTTTTTCAGTCCTTATTAGAAGTAGAGCTATTTCTCTCTGTGTTCCCTTTAATAAAATCAGCTATAAATTAAGGTCAAATAGACTTACACCAGAAAAATTGTGAACATGTAACATAGAAATTAATTAAATAGTTATATAATGACTAATATCAATCCATAAAATGATGACTGTTTAACAGCTGTTGGGACACTCAGTCATAATTGGACATGACGTAAATATTATAAACATATCTAACATTTACTATTAGATTGATGATAAACTCCCTATTTTATTTTATTTCTAAAATAGTAAGGCTTCAAAAAAAGAAAGAAAAAATGCTAGCAATTTTCGGTTCTATGTAAAGTATTTTTCATATCATAAAACACTACATTTTATAAGTTTTGGAAATAAGTTTTAAATTATTTTCCAATTAATTTCATTTGTAATACTCAGATTAGAAACTGTTCCTCTACTGTAATAATTCCCAACTATTTACTGTTAATAATTTCTTATGTCTACTTCTATTCAATAGGTCTTTCTCTACCTCCTGGTCCTCCAGGTAAATATGGCACAGTATTCTTTACGGTTAATGTTCATTTGAAAACTGTTCATTTGAAAATGTACCTCCAATTACTGGTAATTATCTCCCCCCCTTCTTTTTTTTTAAGGATTTTCATATGCTGCATCTCCTAGTCATATTGGTAGGTATGGCACAGCAGAGTTTAAAGTGGATAACCAAGCAAAATGCCTTTTACAGATACAAGATTCTCCAATTTCATAATCTGTTTTGATTTACAAGGTTTACATTTGATTTTTTTCTAAAAACATGCATACTAAATAAGCAATTAAGAGAAAATATGTACTCTTTTTTTTTACTAATTGCTCTTGCAAGATCTTTGTACCAACACTGTAAACATCTCCAAGAATTGTCTCAGGGTTATTGGTACAAATGTATACCAAAATTTTGACATTTATGTTTAAAAAATATTTAGAAAATCATGCCTTATTTTAGCTCTTCTCACAAGTTTATGTGATTAAACCTCAAAACTTTCTGTTAAAAAGAAGATAACTATTAAAATATGACAAGAAAAGCAACTGTAAAGTTGAATTCACACAAGTTATTATAGTTTAATCAAATAGATATAGCAGATGACTGAAAATGACTGAAATATATAACTAGAGGGATAGAGCTGCTTTGCTTTAAAACAAAGTTCATATTTTAATACTTCTTATTCTTTGTAATACTGTGATTTGAAAGTATGAATTAAAACATATTTGTCATTTCATAAACCATTAACAAATTAGGTAGTGGAAATTTATAAATTATTTTCCACAGTTCATGTGTAATATTTCAAACTACAAACTGTTCATTTGAAAATGTACCCTCAATTACTGATATTTCCCCCCCCCCCCTTTTTTTTTTAAAGGATATGCAGGTTCTTCAAGTCCTAGAGGTAGAGGTAGGTATGACACAGCAGAGTTTAAAGTGGATAACCACGGAAAATGCCTTTTACCCTTATCAGACAAAGCTATGGTTATACATTTCAGTAAGGTATTCCGTTTTCATTAAAATTGTTTTTATGCATAAAGTTTTTATGAAAACTTGCAAGCGCAACGACTCTCTCCATTTATTTTTTCATTTAAATTACTCAAGTTAGAAAATTTCTCTAAGAAATACTTTGTGAAAAGCTTTATTAAAAATAATTAGTCATTAACTCTATTTCTCTTCTGAGATCGAACCCTAGTATCAGTCTGATAATTTATATGATCAACTGTTGTTAGCAATTTTAAACATTGCTGAAATAAAAAAACTAAAAACCTGCATGGAGAAGCATTTCTGTCTCCAGAGACAAGATTCTCCAATTTTATAATTTGTTTTGATTTACAAGGTTTACATTTGATTTTTTTTATAAAAACTTGCATACTAAATAAGCAATTAAGAGAAAATATGTACTTTTTTTTACTAATTGCTCTTGCAAAATCTTTGGAACAAGACTGTAAACATCTCCAAGAATTGTCTGAGTTATTGGTACAAATGTATACCAAAATGTTGACATTTATGTTTGAAAAATATTTAAAAAAATCATGCCTTATTTTAGCTCCTCTCCCAACTTTATGTGAATAAACCTAAAAACTTTCTGTTAAAATTAAGACAATTATTAAAATATGACAAGAGAAGCAACTGTAAAGTTGACTTCACACAAGTTATTATAGTTTAATCAAATAGATATAGCAGATGACTGAAAATGACTGAAATATATAACTAGAGGGATAGAGCTGCTTTGCTTTAAAACAAAGTTTATATTTTAATACTTCTTATTCTTTGTAATACTGTGATTTGAAAAGATGAATTCAAACATATTTGTCATTTCATAAACCATTAACAAATTAGGTAGTGGAAATAATTTGAAAATTATTTTCCACAGTTCATGCGTAATATTCAAACTACAAACTGTTCATCTGAAAATGTACCCTCAATTACTTTTTAATTTTTTTTAAAGGATATGCAGGTTCTTCAAGTCCTAGAGGTGGAGGTACGTATGACACAGCAGAGTTTAAAGTGGATAACCACAGAAAATGCCTTTTACTCTTATCAGACAAAGCTATGGTTATACATTTCAGTAAGGTATTCTGTTTTCATTAAAATTGTTTTTATGCATAAAGTTTTTATGAAAACTTGCAAGAGCAACGACTCTCTCCATTTATTTTTTCATTTAAATTACTCAAGTTAGAAAATTTCTCTAAGAAATACTTTGTGAAAAGCTTTATTACCGTATTTTCACGACCATAAGGCGCACCGGACTAAAAGGCGCAGTCTCAGTTATGTGTGCCATTTCTGTATTTAACACACACATAAGGCGCACCGGACTATAGGGCGCGTTTTTTATATACAGGTACATGTCCTCTAAGGTAGAGTTTTCCCACTTAAAAACATATTAAAACTACTTTATTCCCACTGATCACAGCAAATAAAGCTGCAAGGTGTATTTATTACAAAGTATTATTCAAACCTGGGAACCGGCATGCTGATGACACAGGGCTGTGATTACTCCTCTGATACAGTTTATTGAGGCATAAATTAACTTAAAACATAGGCAGGATAATAATCTGGATGAACTGACTGCAATGATTAAATTTTCAGGTGGACTTTCTCACTTAAAAAGATTTAGATTATTTAGATGAAAAAACACCTGCGGAGGTGAGCCCGTATGCCCCGCGGCCCAGAGGCTGCTGTTGAATTAAGTTTTCAGGTAGAAAAATACAGCGGGAGCAAAACTGAGTATGATTGTGCTTTATTCAAGTATTTATTACAGAGTATTAATCAAACCCATCAAAGTCATCATCCTCTGTTTCTGAATTAAACAGCTGCGCTAAATCCGACATGCCAGTTCCCCTTCTTCTTCGTTTATTGACGCATAAATTAACTTAAAACATAGGCAGGATAATAATCTGGATGAACTGACTGCAATGATTAAATTTTCAGGTGGGCTTTATCACTTAAAAAGATTTAGATTATTTAGATGAAAAAACACCTGCGGAGGTGAGCGCTGATGCGCTGCGGCCCAGAGGCTGGTGTTGAATTAAGTTTTCAGGTAGAAAAATACAGCGGGAGCAAAACTGAGTATGATTGTGCTTTATTCAAGTATTTATTACAGAGTATTAATCAAACCCCTCAAAGTCCTCATCCTCTGTTTCTGAATAAAACAGCTGCGCTAAATCAGACATGCCAGTTTCCCCTTCTTCGCTGTCAGTCACTTTCCGTGCAGCGCAGCTCCTCAGAAATAATGCCGGCTTTTGCAAAAGCTTGAACAACAGAGCCAGCAGATACGTTAGTCCAAGCATCTACAATCCATCCGCAAACGGTGGCGTAACTTGCCCGGCGCTGCCTCCCACTTTTCCTGAAACTGTGGTCTCAGTCTGTCATCCATCGCTCCCACGCCGCTCGCAGCCTTACTGTGAACGGCCGCGTCACACCGATGTCGAGCTGTTGAAGCTCCTTTGTCAGACCCCCGGGATAACGGCGAGCACAGCGTTCATTTGATTCACCTTTTTTTTCACATCGGCTGTGAGATGGGCACGCAGCAATGGTGATGCGTGGAAAAAAACACCTAGTCTTCTCAGATACACCTGCCTCAGCCACGCATCCATACGGAGCCACCCAGCCTTATATGCGCGTCAACCATTGACTTTGCATGTAAACTCGCTGCTTCTGCTGCACCTGCTGGGTCCGGTTCACACCGATGTCGAGCGGTTGAACAGCGAGCACAGGGTTAATTTGTTTCCCCATGTTTTTCACATCAGCTGTGAGATGGGCACGCATGGAGTTACATATTAACAGCGATTGTGAGGGGTGGAAAAAAAAAACACCTGGTCTCCTTACATTCAGCCACTCTTTCATCATCTCCTCAATGAGGTGGTCTCAAAAGTCGCAGTTACAACACACATAGGGCGCACCGCACCATAGGGCGCACCGCACATTTTGAGGGGAAAAAAAAACGTTTAAGTGCGCCTTATAGTCGTGAAAATACGGTAAAAATAATTAGTCATTAACTCTATTTCTCTTCTGAGATTGAACCCTAGTATCAGTCTGATAATTTATATGATCAACTGTTGTTAGCAATTTTAAACATTGCTGAAATAAAAAAAACTAAAAACCTGCATGGAGAAGCATTTCTGTCTCCAGAGACAAGATTCTCCAATTTTATAATTTGTTTTGATTTACAAGGTTTACATTTGATTTTTTTTTATAAAAACTTGCATACTAAATAAGCAATTAAGAGAAAATATGTACTTTTTTTTACTAATTGCTCTTGCAAGATCTTTGGAACAAGACTGTAAACATCTCCAAAAATTGTCTGAGTTATTGGTACAAATGTATACCAAAATGTTGACATTTATGTTTGAAAAATATTTAAAAAAATCATGCCTTATTTTAGCTCCTCTCACAACTTTATGTGAATAAACCTAAAAACTTTCTGTTAAAATTAAGACAATTATTAAAATATGACAAGAGAAGCAACTGTAAAGTTGAATTCACACAAGTTATTATAGTTTAATCAAATAGATATAGCAGATGACTGAAAATGACTGAAATATATAACTAGAGGGATAGAGCTGCTTTGCTTTAAAACAAAGTTTATATTTTAATACTTCTTATTCTTTGTAATACTGTGATTTGAAAAGATGAATTCAAACATATTTGTCATTTCATAAACCATTAACAAATTAGGAAGTGGAAAATAATTTGAAAATAATTTTCCACAGTTCATGCGTAATATTCAAACTACAAACTGTTCATCTGAAAATGTACCCTCAATTACTTTTTAAATTTTTTTAAAGGATATGCAGGTTCTTCAAGGCCTAGAGGTGGAGGTACGTATGACACAGCAGAGTTTAAAGTGGATAACCACAGAAAATGCCTTTTACTCTTATCAGACAAAGCTATGGTTATACATTTCAGTAAGGTATTCTGTTTTCATTAAAATTGTTTTTATGCATAAAGTTTTTATGAAAACTTGCAAGAGGAATGGCTCTCTCCATTTCTTTTTTAATTGAAATTACTCAGGTTAGAAAATTTTTCAAAGAAATACTTTGAGAAAAGCTTTATTAATAATAATTAGTCATTAACTCTATTTCTCTTCTGAGATTGAACCCTAGTATCAGTCTGATAATTTATATGATCAACTGTTGTTAGCAATTTTAAACATTGCTGAAATAAAAAACAAAAAACCTGCATGGAGAAGCGTTTCTGTCTCCAGATACAAGATTCTCCAATTTTATAATTTGTTTTGATTTACAAGGTTTACATTTAATTTTTTTTTATAAAAACTTGCATACTAAATAAGCAATTATGAGAAAATATGTACTTTTTTTTTACTAATTGCTCTTGCAAGATCTTTGGAACAAGACTGTAAACATCTCCAAGAATTGTCACAAAGTTATTGGTACAAATGTATACCAAAAATTTGACATTTATGTTTGAAAAATATTTAAAAAATCATGCCTTATTTTAGCTCCTCTCACAACTTTATGTGAATGAACCTCAAAACTTTCTGTTAAAATAAGGATAATTATTAAAATATGACAAGAAAAGCAACTGTAAAGTTGACTTCACACAAGTTATTATAGTTTAATCAAATAGATATAGTAGATGACAGAAATTACTGAAATATATAACTAGTGGGATAGAGCTGCTTTGCTTTAAAACCAAGTTCGTATTTTAATACTTATTCTTTTTAATACTGTGATTTAAAAGTATGAATTAAAACATATTTGTCATTTCACAAGCCATTAACAAATTGAAGTAGTGGAAATTATTTGAAAATTATTTTCCACAGTTCATGTGTAATATTAAAACCACAAACTGTTCATTTGAAAATGTACCCTCAATTACTGATATTTATCCCCCCCCTCTTTTTTTTTTAAGGATATCGAAGTTTTCCGAGTCTTAGAGTTGGAGGTAGGTATGACACAGCAGAGTTTAAAGTGGATAACCACGGAAAATGCCTTTTACTCTTATCAGATAAAGTTAAGATTAAAAATGCTGTGGGGTATTCCATTCTCACTAAAACGTTCCAGTTTTTGTTTTTTTAATTAACGTGTTCAAGTGCAATTTTAAAAATTAATAAATATAACAAACAAAAACCCTGTACTATGGCGAAAGTGATAATGCTCTGCTTGCCAGAATAAAATTCGTTGGGGTTTTTCTGGCATTAAGACAACAATCCTTATTGCCACATAGCATTACAGGAACCTTTAAGATATGAAATAAAATAACAGCAAACAAACTACCTGCATAGAGAAGCATTTCAACCTTAAGAGATTCATACAGAGAAAAGCTGCAGTTAGAAAATATTCAAGTCGTTTATACAGGTAACACACTCATTTGCTTCAAAATATTTTTATCCAAGGAAAACCGGCTGATTGCAATGACTCGTTGACTCTCTGCAACCCCTCGCACTGAGCATGCATGTAGTGGAGAGGAAAACTTTCTTTTAAGTGGAAGAAACTTCCAGCAGGAACAGGCTCAGTGTGAGTGGCCATCTGCAGAGGCTGACTGGGGTTCAAGGACACAGAAGCAGATAAAGACATAAACGAAATTAGTTCTTTGAAGATCAGGCCCTGGCAGAAGACTTTGATGCTGTGAATAAATTTATGCATTTTCTGTGCCCTTCCACCATAACATCCAGGGGAGATTTCGATAAGGGAGGAGGCCGAATCCAAAGTAATTCTTTTGAGAGCAGGCTGCAAAGGAATTTCCCATCAGCTTTGAATCTTTTCTTTCTGGCTCTACATGGTGGATCCAATATTCCAAATTTGTTGGGCTTTTCTGCCTTTAAGCAAGCGTGCCCATCCAAGATATTATCCTATCCCACCTTAGAGTTCAACCACCACAGCCAGCCTGCGTTCAATCGCACCCAGCACACGGCTCAGCTCCTGGTCCTGCTCATTCACAGCCATCGTACCGCTTAAATCCTCTAATTGTAGGTTACAGGAGAAATCAGAGAATCATAAATCTGTAAATCCATACATCTTTGACTGACAACATTGCAACACACACCATCCTCCAATTCTTCCATGACTCCATGGTGTATCCCACAGGTCCCCTTTTCCCTGTCTTCCAGTTGAGGAAATTTGATCGATATCATTAAGAGACCAGCTGACCAGATCCATTGTTTGAATTTGGGTGATATGAAGAGAGGGCTCAGAAAAGACAAGACATAGTAAAGCAGGGACAGATCAAAGCAGGGAGTTGCAGAGCAGCAAGAAAATGTGACCGCCTCCTTGAAGACTCAGAGCAGAAATGCTAATGCCACTCTCATTGCTTTTCCTGCCTTAAACTCAGCCTTCTCTCTTCCTGATTGGCTGTGTTCTAGTCCCAATGTGCCCATAGTTTATATTTTATCCACGCTACAATACCGCAGCTATTACAATTGATATTAGGCTACGAAACAAGTCCCAATTAAAATACAAAATGTTATCTACGCAAAATCAGATGAAAGCTAATGATTGAAGTTCTGTAAAGAAGCAGGAGAGGATGTTTTGATTTATGGACCTTGAGAAATGTAAGTAACCAACATTGCCATCTCAAAATAATATTTATTCTGAAGTGTTATACATTTTATCAATCAAAAACCTTTTTTTCTTTGATAAAATTTAATATTCTGACTCAGACAGTAGTTCTGAAGACTGCTGGAAAAATGGAGTAGCAAAGACTGTAAACTATAAAAAATTCTGATTCTTAGCCATTGCCAACTGAAAAAGAAAATTTGACGGTATCCCTTTTACAAATATTTAGATTCTATTAAATTTTTTGACAAAACTTTGAGGCAATTCACATATAAATAGCAGGTTTTATTTGAAGACTTTTGATAAAATATGACAACAAATTCAACTGTAAAGTTTAATTTACACAAATACATTTTCAAGGTACTAGACTATAAACAAATAAAGATTAGTGAGGAAAAGGATAGAAATATATAAATAGATAAAGTTTCTCTATATTAAAAGAAAGATCATATTTTAATAATTATTCTTTTAACTCTGTTATTTGAAAATAATTGACTTTATTGCAAAGTATTAACCAACAGTAAAAGCCTATTGTCAGGTGAGCCTTTAAACAGTAAATTCACCCCCAGCTTTTATTGTCATTACACTGTCACAGATACAGAGCAATTTTTTTAAAAACACATAGAATAGATTTCAACTTTATTGTCTATACACTGTCACAAGTCAACAAAATGAGCTCTCTGTATTTAACCCATCCCCTTGGGGAGCAATAGGGCTTGAACTCAAAACCTCTGGATTCCTGGCAGAATACACCAACCACTAGGACGCCACCCCTCCTACTTTGTGAAATCTAATGGAGATTATCTATACCTCACTTTTTTTATTTTCTTTTTCTCCATTTAACAGTGGGTAAGAATTACCTTACCCCAAAAATTGTGAAATTGTAATTTAGAAATGTATGGAATAGTTATATGATAAGTTATCATTGACTGATAAAAGGACAAATGTGTTAAACAGATACTCAGCCAGTTTATGACATATCTAACCTATTGTAATTATATTAATTATAAACTGATAAGAACATGAAATTTTCAGTAGTATGAACTAAAACATATTAGTAAGCTCTTAAAACATTACCAATTAGAGGTTGTGGAAATAATTTCAAAATAATTTCCTAGAGTTTACATGTAACATTGAAGCTAAAACTGTTCATCTGAAAATCTACAGCTAATTGATTAATAATTTTGTCGCCCTTTTTTTCTAAAGGACATGGACATTCTGGACTTGGTAGAGGTAGGTATGGCAGAGCAGTTTAAAGTGAATAACCGCGCAAAATGCCTTTTGCTCTTATCAGATAAAGTTAAGGTAAAAAATGCTGTGAGGCATTCCTTTCTCACTATAACATTATTTTTACAAATAATGTTTATGATACACTTGGAAGATCAGCCATTTCTATCATTTATTTTTCAGGACAATTTTTGTAGGTTATAAAAAGATCACTAAGAACTGCTTTTTGAAAAGCTTTATTGTAAATAATTTGTCATTAACTCTATTTCTCTGCTGACTGCAACCCTTGTATACATCTTATAATTTAAGTATTCAACAGCAATTTTAAAAATTATTGAAAAAGACAACAACAAACAAACACTCTGTATAGAGAAGCATTTCTGTCTCCAGACACAAGATTCCAAAAAAATTTATTTTGTTTCATTTACAAGGTTTACAGTATTTTTTTTTCTAAAACCATGTATACTAAATAAGCCATTAAGATAATAATATGTACTTTTTATTATTTCATCTAAAAGGATTTTTGAAACAAGATTCAAAACAGGTGTCCTAGAATTCAGGGTTGCTGAATATAAATAGATATCATGATTTTACAAGATCCCAAAATTTATATTTTTTTCATTTAGAGGGTTTACAGTGATTTTTTGGTTTCTAAAACCATGTATACTAGATAAACCATTAAGAGAAGGTACTTTTTTATAACTATCTCAAAAAAATTTTTTTTTTTGTTTGAGTTAAGAGCACTAGTGGCTCATTTTTTTTGGACAAGGAACGGTATATGAGAATTTAATGGTAATCTCTAAATTTTTTGGCTCTGCACTTCTATAGCTCAAAGATGTTTGAATCCATAAATGCGAGACCCACTCCTATGTAATTATAAATTGCAATTTTCTAAGTCAAGGCTAACATGAAGATTGAGACTTTTAGTCCATAGATGATAATTAACACAGACTACTTATGTATAATATATCACATTTCTGTTAGTAAATTGCTGTAACTATTACACATTGGTGGTTTAATAGTAGCACAAACTACTAGAAATATTATGTTATTAGTACTTTTAACACATTTGTTACTTAAGTAGAAGTATAGATACTGCAGTTTAAAAACACTGGTAAAAGCTGAAGTATCAACTCGACCGCATTACTCAATTAAAAGTGAAAAGGTATGTGCTCCAAAAACTACTTAAAGTATAAAAGTATAAAGTAACCTTTAAAGAAAAACAGCCAGATGCAACTATATGAATTAAAAGCTCAATTCTTCAACTATTTCGAAAAATTCTTTGAGATAGGACCAAGGATGAGGGAGGTCTTGTTGGTCTCCGGCTCCCGATACGCTCTCGACTGTGTCCGACCTTTCAGACATTTAAACATCTTTTTCTGAATCCGACATTGTAGCATGGCAGAGACAATTCACAATTGCAGTTTGAAGAACACCTGCTTGCATCTGATTAATTCCATTGGCGTCAGCACAAATTTGATGAATAGTTAGACAATGAGTGTTTGCATTGACTTATACAATTACAGTAGTTTTCATTAGATGTGGATCACACCAATGATCTGCACTGGATGGCGCACATGACGTGAAATTATATTTTATAACATTAAACTGAAGCCAAGAGTAACAATTAACGTTTCTTTTAAAAATTGAATTTTTAAAACAAACGTTATGTATCTGAACTTTATATTCCTTTTTTAAAAGAAATATAAAGTACAGATACTTGTTTGAAAATGTAATGAGTAGAAAATAACACCATGTCATCTCTATGATATATTTTGATAGAATATAATTTGCAAACATGGACAATTTTTTTTTACTAACTTAACTATTGCTTTATTTAACAGTACTAAAACCAGATATGGCTCACGCTCCACCTGTTCATCCGACCTATTCCTCTTCCCGTAAGTCTAATAAGTCACACACATTGTCAACATCGACTTTTTTTTTATTACAGATGTTACAAATGCTAAAGCAACTAACCATAGTTTATCATTCATTCATCCCTAATTCAAATGGGTTGTATGCACAAAACCACCACCGTACTTCCTGGACTTAAGGCAGCTCTTTTTTTGCCTGTCATTTTGTACTACAGGAACTGATTAATCTAGGTGTGCAAGTGCATTTTGAGAAATGGAAATCTCATGAGAGTTTGTTTTGTATACACTCACAATAAAAGGTGTCTAAGCCCAAGTCTAAGACGGTAACCATGCCAGACACACTTGGATTAATCAGTTCATCCTGTACTGAAAGAGAGGAAATAGAAGAGCTACATTAAATTCAGTAATTAATGAGACTGTGGAAAATCAAGCATTATTTTGCCTTCATTTTTTCATGACGTTCCACTTTGTGTTAGCCAACACAAAATGATTCAACTAAAATGGGTAGAGAAATTTTAATTGAAATATATTTTGAGTCCAAAATATTTTGTGTCTGTATGTATGTATATATATATATATATATATATATATATATATATATATATATATATATATATATATATATATATATATCTACGGTATATATATATATATATATCTACGGTATATATATATCTATGAAGATCCTGTCTGCGGTCAATTACAATTTGGGAGAGGTGCAGCTGAGGAGGGCGGGGACGGCTTTTTTTTCACTACGACACCTACGCAGAGGACCTGGTTTTGAAATATAAATCAGCCTTAAGTCATAAGATGCCTTGATTCAACTTGGAATGTTTGTGTTTAAATTAAAGGCACCAGAGGTGGGAACTGGGCTATGCCTCCTCCTCGTAAGTATATTTTAAAGCCATTTAACGTATTCATCCTGTAATTTAGTGTAGCTAAAGAAAATAATTCATATTTCCTACACAGGATTTCAACATTTTTTGAGTTCAGTTTACAACTTTTCTAATTATTTATTCTAAGTATTTATTTTTTTGTTTACTATTTAGAGCTGATGTGAATTCAAAAACAACAGAGATTTTTCCACAGTGGGAGAAGAATGCTAGCTTTTTCATGGTTGTACAAGTTTAGTTCTGATGCGTGGCTGAAGCATCTTTGCTGCTTTGGCTGCACGTTGGAAAAAGTGGGTCTGATGCGCATTGGGCGGAGCTACGCTATCCTTTCTTTGCCTGTAACAATGGCAGCTATATTTGCTGTGATCAGTTGGTAAAAAAGTAGTTTGAATCTATTTTGAAGTGAGAAAGTCCATCTGAAAACATTGTCAGTGCAGTCAGTTCATCCAGATTACCATCCTGCCTTCAAATATTACTTCTGTTGGAGCCTTTTAGGCCCCTGTACAATGGCGGTGCGCTTTTACTAGGAATCCCATTCAACAGCAGCTTCTGGCCCACTCGCCCATTCGCGTTTTTCATGTACGTAATCCGAACTGCAGGCACCAGGACAATAAAAATGAACATGTTTTGTTGGCAGATTTCAGCATTTTAAGTTAATTTACGTGTTAATAAACAGTTTCAGAGGAGTGATTATAGTGCTCTTCAGCTGCTCAGACGCACGGCTCCTGCTGCTCTAGACAGGCTGCACGCAGCATGCGCGTTCATGAGTTTTGAAGGCGTAGTTTCGAGGGGTGGTCTAAAGGGAGAGGCATGGTTGTGTATGTTCAAAAAATTATGGAAGCAAATCGTTACCATATTTAAAATGAAAAAGCATTTTCAGAAATGCTTTTTCATTTTAAGAATGTGGCTGCATTGTTTGACTCATAAATGAAATTAGTAATCAATCATCCTGTTTGCATTTTCATTTTCTTCTTTAACACCGCTCATTCTTTTACTTAATTAAAATTAAAAAGAAAAGACATTTGAGATTTATCATTCAAAATGTACCCCAGCAAATACATACCAAAATTCAATTTGAAATATAAAATTTGAGACATTTGAGATTTATTTTCAAAAAGCATTTTTGAAAATGTTTTTTCATTTTAAATATGGTAACGATTTGCTTCCATAAAAAAATTGCTTGATGGAACAGTTTTTTCAAGATCTCCTACAGCACCTTTAATACACAGAATAAACAGTTAGAAAACATACAGAATAAGACAAAGAACGAGCATTTTTAAAGAGAAATAAAAATATAAAAACAAGAACGTATTAACATGGAATTTGATATGCAGTATTTGCTTGCTTGTTCTGAAATAGTTTTATGAAAGGTGGGGATTACCTTCTCATCTTCAGGAAGAAAATTGTTCCTGAGTCATAGAAAAAAATAGTCAAAAAAGCTACCAAAAAGGTCCTGGAAATTATTGTTGTAGAGGAAGCCTAACATACTGTTTGTAAATGTAATAAGAACGGAAAATATGCAATAATATGGGTAAAGTAAAATAAGGAAGTATATAAAAAAAAAAATGTTACCGTTTTTTTTTTTTTTTTTAGTTGTATTTGCTGTATTGTATTTGCTGTATTGTATTGTATTGTATTTATTGTATGTATGCAAGTTTTATAACACAGCTTATAGTAACTGCTGCTGGAAGTACCAGCTGTTTTTCTTACATCTGTTATTTTACTCCAACTTTCTATCTCTATTTAGGTTTTGCTCCTCACAAATTTCTGCTGAAAATGGAAAATCAGTCTCAACCACTTTGCTTTGAAATCAACAAAACGTTCATTCTTTTACTATTTCACCATCCAAGCAAAGGTCTGTTTTTTTCCATTACATTTAAAATTTAAATATGAAATTCTTCCTAAAAGCTGCCCATACAAACTAAAAAAAAATCCAGTTTGATTTTGTTATCTATGATACTGTGTTGAGTTGCATTTGGTCACTTTGTTTTCAGAAGTGCGTGTGATTGGTATGCTGGACGCAATAACACATGGGGGCTTCAGGACTATTTTAATCCAAGCTGGCTCTGAGGAAATGGTTGCGTTTAATCACCTTGGAGTTCTAGATCGACGTGATGGGCCTTTTGCACAGCAAACAACAAATGACAATTTCACAACTGGAAGGTCAGCTTTTGGGTTTTTGTTCCACAACCATAAACAGTCCATTATTATGTGTTTTACAGAACAGTAACCATTGCAAATTAACTGATCCAGTGTTCTGGCTAGTGCAGCTTTCTAATGTCATTTTTTTTTTAACAACTAATAATTGAACATACACAGTTAAATCTCAGATAATAAAGTAGGCCAGATTTTACAGAATAAAAGGTTTCTAAAAGTTGCACAATATTGAAAATTCAACCTGGAGAGACTCAAACAGTAAAAGCTGGAGTTAGAAAATATCAATTTCATTTATACAGGTAAAATAATCATATTCTTTAAAATATTTGTATCTAAGGAAAACCAGCTGATTTCGAGGACTCATTGACTCTCTAAAGTCCCTCGTATTGAGCATGCATGTAGCAACAGTGGAGAGGAAAATTCCCTTTCAACAACAAGAAACCTCCAGCAGAACAGGCTCAGTGTGAGCCGCACTCTGCCGAAGCTGACTGGGATTTAAGACAGAGGCAGATGAAGACATGAACAAAATAAGTTCTTGTGATGCTGTGAATCAGCATACACTTGGATGAGTAACATAAAAAAAGGATTATAGTAATCCCCCCGGGCCTTGCTAGTAGGCTAGACTCGATGACTAGACGCGATGTGCAGATAATTTTTTTTTATGTATTTTGCAACTCATGTTGCCCAGTTGCTTTACTGTGCTTTTATTGTTGACATTTTATCTTTAATCTTTTCAGTGCTCACAGAGTTCAAACATTTTGCTTCAGACATAGAGAATGCAAGGAATCATGTTTGAAAGATTTTGCTGATTTCTGAGAAAAATTTACAAAACCAATGGAACATTTGTTATTCTGATGCCATTATGCAATATCTTCATAATCTTCACCAGCATGTTGCAGACTTATTTAACATTTCGATCCGAAAAAAACTCACACGGAGAGAAAAAAACAATTAGAAGAAATTTATTGATACAATTACTTAGTCTTTTGAGCTCACACCTCGGCAGGAAACATAGCGCTGAATTTTCATTGATATGCATGAACAGTAGTAAAGAATAGGGCTGTATCCCCCAGGCTTGAAACTGGTGGTGGAGTGGAGATACATGAAGTTGGTCAGTCTGTAGACTGCTGGTTAGCGAGACGGTATGCTGAGCTTTATGGAGAGATCCAGTGGACTGAGCTGATACTAGAGCTTCACTCAGGGACCTAGATGATGGAAGTTGGATAACACAGGTTGAGAGAACCCGTTCATGATGAGCAAGCATGAAGCGACAGTGGAGAGGAAAAACTCCCCATTGGGAAGAAACCTCTCGCAGAACCAGGCTCAACATGGTGATCTTCTGCAGGACTGGTTGAGATGAGATGCAAAATGCAGTAAGAGTCTGGGAGTAATGTTTTAGCTGCGATGATGGAGGAGGGGGTGTAGGTGGATTAAAACTGGGTTATCTGAATGAAGTCACACAGCGCAACCACCGCCTGCGCACAGGTGCAGACGAGTTGCGGATCGGAGGCCTTTTAAGATGAACTTTGGATGCTGCTTGGCCCTAGGCTCTATTTAACATACCCAAAAACTTAAGCAGAGAAAGCAAGCTTTAAGAAAAATGTTATACTAATCATGACAAGATTTTAAGACTCAAAGACAGAAATTTAATCCAAGGTTCTACATTTTCCAGAATTAAGGTGATCCGACAACCGGACAAAGAATTTCATATTACACTGGAAGACATGCATTTGGTCATCTTTGTTCATGAAAAAGATGGTTACAAATTCCTTTGGCCTGTCGTACACAGAATGCCAAATGCCAATAACATTGAAGGGATTTTAGGTAAGTTAACAGTCCTTGTTTGTCTTCATAACCAAAATACGAAATAGCCAGAATTTTAATGTCATGTCTTCTGTTGTTGTTTGACTGACTGCAGCGTTAAGCATAACTTCCTATGTGGAGGTGGAATCGACCCCCCTAACAAAATTAAGAATCAGAGACAGAGAGGTCTATGTAAACAGGTACAATTTACATTTCTGTGCACATATTCCAGGAAATAATAATAAAACAACTTTTAAAAACAGTTTCTTCTTTTTTGCAGCTCTAGTGCAGCCGATTATAGCATTACCGAGCCTGTGGATATATCATGCTGGCTTACCCCAACCGACGATGTCTTGGAGAAACCATTGCGGCATTACATCCTGTACGATTTTCAGTGAGGGTCACTTTGAATGATAAAAATAAAAATTCTAACTGAAATGATTAATTTTGAAGGACAAATGTAATTGTTATGTACCATCAAATATCAAACAAAATAAAAGACATCCACTTGTAAATGCAATGTTAAGATTTAAATATAACAAAATTAAAAGTGAGTCCATCTATTGAGCTTAACAATCTTTAAGTGAGCAGATATGCAGAGAAGACGTTTTATGGTATGTAGTTGTCTAGCAAATGCTAATAATATGAAGACAAGAAAAATGTGTAGGTCCCAATCACTCCCATTGTTTAGATAATTTGACTCATAAATCTTTAAAGGTGAATGGAAAAAAGTTTTTTTTTTGCATGAGATGAAAACAACATTGACTATTACCAATAAACAAGTTAAACCAAGGAGGTTATGAAACAAGAAAAAATTATAAAATGTAAGTTAGCATTATCAGGGTATTATGGAGCAGGAGGGGAAAACAGGTGAAACATTTGCACAGACCATATGAAAGGAACTAGTCAGGTCTCATCCACACAGAGACAACTGGGTGAAGGCAACCCTGGATGGATGGATGGATGGATGGATGGATGGATGGATGGATGGATACATTACTAAAAAAAATAAAGGAACACTTTGTAATCAGAGTAAAGCATCAAGTTAATTAAACTTCTGGGATATTGATTTGGTGAGATAAGTAGCAGTTTCAGCTGCTTTGGTGTTAATGAAATTAACAACAGGTGCACTAGAGGGGCAACAACGAGACGACTATCAAAACAGGAATGGTTTTACAGGTGGAGGCCACTGACATTTGTTCCCCTCCTTATCTTTTCTGACTCTTTTTCACCAGTTTTGCTTTTGGTTAGGGTCACTTTCACTACTGTTATCATGAGGTTCTACCTGGACCCTACAGAGGTTGCACAGGCAGTCCAACTCCTCCAGGATGGCACATCAATACGTGCCATTGACAGAAGGTTTGCTGTGTCTCCCAGCACAATCTCAAGAGCATGGAGGAGATTCCAGGAGACAAGCAGTTACTCCAGGAGAGCTGGACAGGGTCGTAGAAGGTCTACAACCCATCAGCAGAACCGGTATTTGCTCCTTTGTGCAAGGAGGAGCAGGAGGAGCACTGCCTGAGTGCTACAAAATGACCTCCAGCAGGCCACTGGTGTGAATGTCTCTGACAAAACAATCAGAAACAGACTTTACGAGGGTGGCCTGAGGGCCCGACATCCTCTAGTGGGCCCTGTGCTCACTGCCCGGCACCGTGGAGCTCGATTGGCATTTGCCACAGAACACCGCAATTGGCAAGTCCGCCTCTTCTTGCAAAGCAATATGGGATTTGCTGTCACACCGGCCCGCTGTCATCATAGGCTGTCTCTACCCAACAGCGGTGACTAATAACAAAGATGGCGCAGGCACTGCGCATTGGAGGAGGAGTTACCTGACCAACGGGGAGCAAAAAGCAGTGATCATCGTTCCGAATGGTAGGTTAACTGAGTTTGCTATAAAGTCAACTATATAGTCTCCGCTCTATATAGTGATTGAGGGATTTAGGGGCTAGGTTGGACGTTCGGGCACAGGAAGCTTGTATGAGTTATGAGAACAGCAACTTTTAAAAGCCTATTAACGCAGCTTTTAAACGCCTATTAGTAGGCATTTCCTCTCAGAAGCGGGTACAGGGTTGTGTATTATCGTTTTTTTAAAGTGGAGAGGGCGATTCTTTTAATAAAATCGTGAAAATCATCCACAATATCTTCAAACTTCAGATTCAGGATATTCCTCTTAAACTTCTCAAAAAATTTTACCTGCGGTATTTTTCTGCCACTCATTGAGCCACTTTTATCAATAACAAAGACGACATTCTTGGGTATTCTGGCAAGGTTAGATGGAGCAAAGTGATGGACAAAGTATCCATCCGAAGACTTAAAGGAGCCTCATGTAGTGAGAGTATGCAGGCAGTTCCTGGAGGATGAAGGAATTTATGCCATTGATTGGCCCTGACGTTGTCAGGCATGCATGCCTGCACGTGGGGGCCATAAAAATTACTGAATACCATTTTGAGTTGCTTCAATAAAATTTCAGCAAAATGGGCTAGCCTGCTGCATCTTTTTTTCGCTGTAATTATTGGGGTGTCTTTCATTTCAGCCCTCTGTAGGTTGATCATTTTTTTATTTCCATCAAATGATGTGACATCCTTTTGTTCCTAACACATCACCAACTCCATATCACTATAGAAAACAGCATGATTTATATATATCTATATATATATATATATATATATATATATATACTGTATGTGTGTGTAATGATGGTGTCATATAGTTTTCACACTGTGCACATATTTCAAGGCCTCATACTTATTATACTTAGCAACACAGAATATACAGTGGGCAGGACACAGAAATAATAGCTGTTGGAGGTCATGTACAAATCTTGGCAAAGACAAGTTTCCTAATTGCTGATTCGCTCGCAGTCAGGTTGTAAGGTAAGAGATTTTGGCATAAACAGAGAACACCTTTTTCCTGTTCAAGTGCCGGAGCCATATGGAGAGATATTTGTGCCATCGGTTTGAGCGCGCAGGAACCAATCCGAGCGCGCAGTGAGACAACACGCGCGCGCGCAAAACCGGTCTGGCGCGCGCTCAACTCTGAAAAACCCTCTCAACACACTGTTCTCGCGCTCAGTTTCATCTCTGCGCGTGCTCGAATCCGTCTCTGCTCGCGCTTGCTCTCCTGCTCTCTCTCTGCGCTCAACACCAGCTGTGCGCTCGGCTGTTTCTCCGCTCGCTCGACTCTCTGCGCTCGCAACTTCAGCAATGTATGTAAATGAACCATACCATCAGCCAATCACACTCAGCTTCTTTTCATCCAATGAAAGCATTCCTTCCTTCTTCTTCTTCTTTTCTATCATGGCGGATCGCAAGCAACTTTAAGGTGCATACCGCCACCTACTGTTCATGAGTGTGTAGCAACATTGTTTTACATCTATTAAATTCTATTTTTTAATTTTGCATTCTGAAGATAACTAAATAATGCTTTCCTTAATCTATAAACATCCTTTATATTTCCTTTATTTCCCAATAATCCTTTAAGACTCCATTCTTGGCCTGTCATTTCAACTACTCTTCTCAATTTTTCCCTTTCAGGTTCATATGTTTTACAGTTCATTAATATGTAAGCATTCGTTCCAAATACTACATCCGGTTAGATGAAAAAAAATACATAAATAAATAAAAACACAATCAGGAAAATCAAACAACTCTTACAGTTATTTTGTCAACATTCCTAAGATAGTACTATAAAATATCTTGAATTATCTCAAATAAACTTCAGTAAAACAGTTATTAGATCATTGCCTCATCCATCTCTTTTACCTGCTATTGACATGGATTTAAATTTGATGTTTTAAAAGAAAATTAAGGAGGATATTTCAGGTTCCAGTATGGTTCAACAATATATAGATAAAAAATATTATGGATATGTTAAATTTTTTATGGATGCTTCAAAATATTCCAATATTAGGAATGGTGTTTTGTTTTAGTTTCATAATTTATTTTTAAATCGGGTAAAAGAATCAGTGATGGAATTCAGCCTACAAAGGAGAAATGTTTTGGATCATATTGGCCTTACAATGGATTGAAGAAATCGTTCCATTAAGAAGTTTAGTTTGCTCTGATTTTAGATCAGCGACCGTTATATTAATTTAAACGCAATTATTCAGACAGCAGACCTGATCTGAAATTTAACAATTATTATTTAGAAGACCTTTTACAGATGGACTCTAAATAAGAGGGTTATTCTTTATTATATATATTAAAAAGAATAATTTGATAAACAGGATTTTTCAGTTGGTGGCGGTAATTGTTGTTTGCCAACCTCCATAAAAAACAACAAAAAGAAGAAACACCCGCCACAAAAGCTAAGAGTAAGGCCAATATGATCCAAAACATTATCTATATACTGTTGAACCATACTGGAACCTGAAATATCCTCCTTATTTTTCTTTTAAAACAGCAAATTTAAATCCATGTCAATAGCAGGTAAAAGAGATGGATGAGGCAATGATCTAATAACTGTTTTACTGAAGTTTATTTGAGATAATTCAAGATATTTTATAGTACTATCTTAGGAATGTTGACAAAATAACTGTAAGAGTAGTTTGATTTTCCTGATTGTGTTTTTATTTATTTATTTATTTATTTTTTTCATCTAACCGGATGTAGTATTTGGAACGAATGCTTACATATTAATGAACTGTAAAACATATGAACCTGAAAGGGAAAAATTGAGAAGAGTAGTTGAAATGACAGGCCAAGAATGGAGTCTTAAAGGATTATTGGGAAATAAAGGAAATATAAAGGATGTTTATAGATTAAGGAAAGCATTATTTAGTTATCTTCAGAATGCAAAATTAAAAAATAGAATTTAATAGATGTAAAACAATGTTGCTACACACTCATGAACAGTAGGTGGCGGTATGCACCTTGAAGTTGCTTGCGAACCGCCATGATAGAAAAGAAGAAGAAGGAAGGAATGCTTTCATTGGATGAAAAGAAGCTGGGTGTGATTGGCTGATGGTATGGTTAATTTACATACAGGTGCTGGTCATAAAATTAGAATATCATGAAAAAGTAGTTTGATTTCAGTAATTCCATTTAAAAAGTGAAACTTGTATATTATATTCATACATTACATACAAACTCATATATTTCAGATGTTTATTTTGTTTAATTTTGATGATTACAAATGACAACAAATGAAAATCTCAAATTCATCATATCAGAAAATTAGAATATTACTGAAGACCAATAAAAACAAAGGATTTATAGAAATGTTGGCCAACTGAAAAGTATGAACATGAAAAGTATGAGCATGTACAGCACTCAGTATTTAGTTGGGCCTCCTTTAGCCTGTATTACTGCAGCAATGCGGCGTGGCATGGAGTCGATCAGTCTGTGGCACTGCTCAGGTGTTATGATAGCCCAGGTTGCTCTAATAGTGGCTTTTAGCTCTTCTGAATTGTTGGGTCTGGTGTATTGCATCTTCTTCTTCACAATACCCCATAGATTTTCTATGGGGTTAAGGTCAGGAGAGTTTGCTGGCCAATTAAGAACAGGGATACCATGGTCCTTCAACCAGGTACTGGTAGCTTTGGCACTGTGT